GGTAGAAGGAAAAAAAAGGAAAATCTTTGTCATGAAAAACCAAAAAGTAATTAATACCTGTTATTAAAAATAATTATTACTTATTAATAATAGTAATTTTATCATTATTATTATTATTATTATTATTATTATTATTATTATTATTATTATTATTACTGTTTATAATAATTGACGAAAAATTAAAAAAGTTAAACGTGTTGACGACGAGTAAAATGTTACAAAAAAAAAAAAAACATTAAAAACGTCATTAAAAAAAAAAAAAAAATTTAAAATAAATATTTGAAATTATAATTAATAAAAAACAACGACGACAAACAACAAACAACGACAAACAACAAACAACACTTGAGCAATGTTTGTAGTATTATCGTGTCTCGTCTCCCACGTTTTTTTTTTTTTTTTTTTTTTTTTTTTTTAATATTCTATAATTATAAAAACATGTTGAAAAATAAAATAATAATAATAATAATGATTACTTTACCGTATTTGATTTTTACACAGTAGGATTGTTTGTTTGTTTGTTTGTTTGTTGCAGGAGGTATTTGTTGGACGACTACAAACAAATACGGACGTTGCACTGATATACTATCTGAAAAAATGACAAAAGAAGAATGCTGTAGTCAATTTACAAATGTAAATACGGCATGGAGCAACGAAGATATGGATTCTGGAAGTTTATTCTTTTTAAGAATTTTAGGAGACGGAGTACCTTGCCACTCGTGCAAAGGTGAGATTCACGTGAGTTTCTTCTACCCCTTGTTACTTTTTTTTTTTTTTTTTTTTTTTTTTTTTTTCTTTTCTTTTTCCAATATATATATGCATATACATATACATATATACATACATAAAAAAATTTTTAGAAACTTGTACTGGTGTCGAATGCGGTTCGGGTAAAAAATGCGTCATGCGTTCCGGACGTCCCAAATGCGTTTGTTCTCCCTGTAAAGAAAAAGGAAAAAATTCAAGGGGACCCGTTTGCGGTACGGATGGTAATACTTATTTGAATGTTTGCCGTATAAAAAAAAGAGCCTGCAGAAGGAAAACTCCGAACCTTACGGTGGCTTATAACGGTTTTTGCCAAAGTAAGTACTTTTTTCCCTCCCTTTTCTTCCCTTTTCTTCCTTTCGAACCTTTTTTGAAATTAATATAAAATCGTTAAATGATTCGATTAAACTGAAAAAAAAAAAAAAAAAAAAAAAATTCCGGAAAATTCCCTCAACGTATAAAAACGTTAAAATAAGGAGTCAAGTCATACCTTATAATAATAATAATAATAATAATAATAATTGTTTTTAAATGTAAAATTGCAATATATGTATATAGATTTGCCCTTCAGTTAGATAAACTATAAAAGTTCAATTCAAATTTATTTTTTTTTTTTTTTTTTTTTTTTTACGTACATTTTGTAATTATTATTATTATTAAGTAAAAAAAAGAGGAAAGACGTCAAAGTTTGAAAGAAAAAAAAAAAAAAAAAAAATTCGATTAACCTTTTATTACTAAAAAAAAAAATTGTGTAATCGTTTTGAAAAGAAGAAGGAGAAGAATTTTTTTTTTTTTTTTTTTTTTTTTTCAATTTAAAAAAAAAAAAAAATTATTCGATCTCACGTTTGGCAACAACAACAACAACAACAACGAAGACGAAGAGGACGAAGACGGTGGGGAAAACTTAAATAATAATAATAATAATAATAATGCTAGTAGTAATTATCCTACGAATGGTTTTAAATAGGTAACTGTCATTGACCCTATTGGACCTAAACCACTAAAAACACTCCATGAAATAACAACATACCCGAAATAAATTTTTTTTTTTTTTTTTTTTTTTTGTAAGCAACCGGTTGTGGATTCAATTTTTGTGAGACTGATTTTTTTTTTTTTTTTCTACCTTCCTTACAGACATCCTTCCCACGCACGCAAACACTCCTTGTTTTTGCCTATTTATATTTGAGGGAAAAGGAAAAAACATCATCGTGTCTGCAAATAATCAAATATTCTGACTCAAATTACATGTTAATGTTAAATGTTCAACTGTATAATTCATGTCGTGATTTTTTTTTTTTTAAGAAATAACAAGAATTAATAATGATAATTTATCTCGTCTCGTCGTCGGTTGTATTTATAAATAATTAAATTAAAACTGGAAATGAAAAAAGATGGAAAAAAGGATTCCAGTGTTTTTTTGAATAAAATGTATATAAAAGAGTTTTTTTATTTTCCGTTACGTTTCAGGTAGTTGTGATCGTATTAAATGTCCGGATGGAAAATATTGTCTTTTAGATCAAAATCTAAGTCCTCATTGTGTTCGATGCATGATAAGGTGTCCTAAATCTATGGAAAATTCAAAACCCGTTTGCGGTACCGATGGTATAACATACGAAAATATTTGTCTTCTAAGGCAAATGGCATGTAAAAAAGGAAAAGCAATACCGGTGGCCTATAAGGGTAAATGCAAAGGTAAACAACAAAAAATTTCCTTCAATGAGTCGTTACGTAAAAAAAAAAAAAATATCCACGTCCCCCGAAGTATAGTACATAGTCGAGTCAGTTAGTTTACTACATAAATATTTACGGCCACATAAAAATAAATAAATAAATAAACGACTGGAAACGTAAAAAAGCCTTAATATTTCAGTCGAGGTTGCACCTACAAGTATGCATCCTTGAGAAGGTGATTGATGCCCACGGACTAAAGTCGAACGACTACTACGTTTATCAGAATTTGTGTGCGTAAACAAATTCGGTCCAATTTCCGATTTCCGGTTGGGGTTCAACGAGGTTTTCTTATTCGCAGCAAGAGCGTCTTGCGGAAGCATTCGATGTAAGGATCGCCAGGCCTGCTTGACAGATTCATATTCGGGTTTGCCCCGTTGCGTTACTTGCACGTCGCGATGCCCGTCAGTCAAAACCAAAGAATTTCGAGGACCCATTTGCGGAACAAACAACAAAACTTATCATTCATGGTGTCACATGGTTAAAGATGCGTGCGCAACAGGTTTCGTCATTGAGACTAAATTCCAGGGGATCTGCGAGGAAGGAGGTAAGAGGTCATTCTCGATAAAGAAAAACAACAATTTCACGATGATCGTTATGTAAATATCTTAATAAATTCATTTTTTTTTTGTAATACTTACTTTTATCAAATGATGATGATGATGATGATGGATGATATATTAAAACATTTTGAATTGATATTCACATTAATATTGGTTCTTCTTAATTATTGGATCTTTTCTTTTTCTCTTTATAGACCAAAATACTGAGATTGTACCAGTGACGTCATTGGTTAATTTATCAACTTATTTATCCTCGCCGTCTGATTTTCAATAAATAATAATAATAATAATAATAATAATAATAACTATCGATAACAAAAATAAATATTTAAAATTATTAATTTATGGGATGAAAATAATAATAATAATAATAATAATAATAATTATTGTTAATATTAAAAATTTATATTAAACTAAGGTATTGCGCTTTCTATAAGACTTATAATGTATATTTATTTAATCGCAGCATATTTTATGCATTATTATTATTATTATTATTATAATATTATTAATTTAATTTCAAAATTAAAATTTGCAATATAAGCTTTACGATTTAATTTTTTGTTTTCTATATATTTATATTTATTTACCTTTTTTTTATTACCTTTGAAAAAAAATCAATTAAATCACTCTTTAGAGAGAGAGAGAGAAAAAAAATAAAGAAGAGAAACCATTGAAATAAAATGACGATCCTTAAAAACTTTCGTATACATACTCTTATATATATATTTAATCATAAATATACGTTTTTTGTAAACATTCACAAAAAAAAAATTTCGCTTCGTTTACGTAAATAAATAAATAAATAAATAAATAAAGAATATGAAATTTCTATATAAAATTCTGAATAATAATAATAATAACTAGCCTAAAAGTAAATAAAATTAATCGATTTCAAAGGGCTTTATTTGTCTTTCACCTTCGTTAAGAAATATAATTAATGCTTTATGTAATAAATACACTCCTAGATTAAGTTTATCTTTGGTCGGCCAACAAGAAACTACACCATAATATTCTCCTATTTTAACATTTTTAAGATTCGATAAACCCATGGCCGCTATCATGGCAGCTTCACGCGTAAATGCTTCCACGGGAATTATATTTTGAAAAACTTGAATGCAAATCACACCCAAACCTTCTTTCCATATTTCTATTATTTGATTTATCTGAAAAATAAGAAGTAGTTAGTATCCATCTTGTAGTTATTTTTTTTTTTTTTTATCATTAATTTTAACGAGACAAACTTTTTCGTTAGAACTGTGACTTTGTTTTTTCCAACCGGAAACAGCTTCGTGTAAATGTGCATAAGGTCTACATCTTTTTCCTTTTCCTATGTAAAAAATTGAAGATAAAAAACATTTCCAGATATTTATCATCGTCGTTTCGTGAGCTCTTTCGGGTAGATTTAACGATATTCTTGGATCTAACAATAAATAATTAAACGACGTTTTGTTATTTCCTTCTCTCCATTTAGGTTTGATGAAATTTTCAAACGATCGACACATTTTCTCTTCCAACGTACGATAATTTATTATTTTATTCATGTTTTCTTCATTGGATAAAGTTTTTTGAAGGGCCGTAGAATAAACTAAAACAAAAAAAATTTTCTTAAAAAATTTTTTTACACAAAAAAATTACAACTTCCAATAAATCACCTCTTGGCAAAATTTTACACTCTGAATTTTTAACAATTGGTTTTTTTTCCTTTTTCATTTTTTTAAGTTTTTTCAGGTACACTTTTTTAGTTGTTTTCGTGATAGGTCCGGGATTACAACCTAAATTAATAAGCTCACATCTCAACGAATCTGAATTATTACTGTTGTTTAATGATATGGACGATGTGGACGAATGAGCGGAAACGTTTTCATCATCCTCCGTATCCGAAAGAAGGCTGGAAAAAAATAATAATAATAATAATAATTTGAAAGAGAATTATTATTAAATGGTGGTGAATTATAATGGGAAACATACCTATCAATAAAATTTTCGAAAAAAAATAAAAAATAAAAAAATTTTCCAAAAAAAAAAAAAAAAACTGGGAAATTTAAGATAAAATTTATTAACGAAAAAAAAAAAAAAAAAATATTTATTTGAAGATTTACGTTCCGGGAAGCTTTGGGTTAAAATTTCTATTTGAACACAGTCTCTTCAGTCAAAGATTTTTCTGACCTAAAATTGAAAAAATAATAAGTTTTAAAATTAATTTATATATATATATATATAAATTATAACTAAATTGGATGAAAAATTATTGATAAGATTAATTTGAGACTGTGTTCTAAAAACCTCCTAAAAATAAAATTAATTAATAATTATTTTATAATTCCAAAAGGTTATTGTACCTGATGACAGGAGTAAAATCCTTTTCCTCATGAACTTCTATTACAACTTCATCATTATTTATTATTTCTTTACGTTCTTCGGGTATACTAAAAAAGCTAACGATTGAATCGTTGTTTGGATTTTGATTGGTTAATTCCGTGCTCAAATTTGAATCGTAAGGAGTCAAATACAATGTCGAATCATCAGAATTATTTTGAGGTAATGTTGAAGTTTGAATATTTTGTAAATTTGTTTCTTCAACGTTTGAATCAGACTCCTGAATATTATAATTATTAGTCAATTCAGAATTAGATGCACTTAAATCAATTGTATCATTACACAAATTACTTTTTTCCCCTTCGTTTTCTTTCATTACATGTGTAGCATAATCTGACATGCTTTTCAACATGCTTTTATTAACTGAATTTAATTTACACATTTCAAATTTGTTTTTTTTTTTAATTAAATGACCCAAAATCATTTGATTATTTTTCAACACATTCGAATTGTTAATTGATTCCTTATTTAAAGTATTTACTTCATTTTGTCCTCCTGAATTTTCTTCAGAAATTCTTAATCTAGATCTACGGCGAACTGCTTCTTGAAGTTCAATTAAAAGTTGACCTCTTACATCAGTTGGATCTACATTGTTACTAACTTTTTCAGGATTTTGGTCAGATGAATTCGATGGTGATGTTTCAATGTGAATTGTAGATATAAATGTTTGCTTGTCACTTATTGTATTTTTTGAACCTTCATTCAAACTGCCATCGATAAACAATTCACATGATGCATTATGATTATTTTTAGTCCAACCCATTTCTAACTTTTCTGGTTTTCTCCAACAATTGATTTCCATACAAGAAGAATTTACTGTAGGCTCAAAGTATTTTATTTTATCTTGAATCGGAGAAGGAGAATCAGACTTATTATTTTTGGTTTGAGTCATTGCAGACTTAGTCGAGATTTTAAGAGTGTCATAAACAGACAATTCATTTTCTTTATTCGATAATATTTTTTGAAAATTAAATTCTTTTCCAGAATTAAATAACTTATCAAAATTTAATGTTTGTTTCGATGAAAGTGTGGTAGATAAATGCATTTGTTGAAAGTGATGAAGCATTTTAATAGTTTTCCACTCCTGTTCTTCGAATGCATAATTAAAAGCATTTTTTTTTTCATCATCTTGCACCCATGGATCTCCACCATTAATAAGCAATAAATGTAAAATACGATTTCTACCCCATCCTGCAGCTACATGTGTTGGTGTCACACCATCTGTAGATCGAGTATTCGGATCTCCTCCACATCTCAAAAACACTTTGGTAACTTTATAAGCAAAATTTTCAGATTGATGGCCAATAATAAGGTGCATCAAACATACACCTTTATTAGGAATTATTGTATTGGGATTAATTTTCCCATTGAAAATTAGCGAATTGATCGAGCTGAAAATTTAAAAAAATTAATTAAATTTTTAATATAATATAACCAGTAATAAATTATGAATTTGTTTTACGAATTAATCATTTTTTAGGCAAACATGTAAAGAAGTAAAAACGTAAATAATAAAAAAAATGATAATTTTTCTAAAAAATTTTTTTAAAAATAATTAATTAGAAAAAAATTGAAAACGCGAAAATTTTTTACGAATAAATATAAAACTGATAAAAAATAAAAAATTTATTTTTTTATAATTTTAGACAAACTTACCTAATATCTTTATGATCAAAAGCGCGGAGAACCTTTTTCAGAATCAGCGGTTCAATCATTAGATACGTCGTTTATATTTACATTATATTATTTTAATAAATAATTAGATTTATTAAAGTAGATTTAGATTAAGAAAAAATGATAAAATGAAAGCTTTAATGTGCTATCATTAAGTTGTTGTAACGTTTTAATTCGAGTAAACGGTTTAATTCATCTGACCGTTACATGTTTCTGCTTCCACGAAAGTAAAATTTATTTTCTAAGATGCCTGTGAATTGTGTAATGACGTATTTGAACGATGGCAAATTTTGCTGTGAAATAAATTTTGTTTATTTTTGTTGATAATAATTTAAAATTACGACAAAAGTATTTTAATTTTTTTTTTTTTTAATTTCGTTAAATGGATTGAAAAAATTTTTTTAATAATTAAGCAAAAATACGTACAAAATTTATTTCGTTTAAATGCATAATTTTAAATTTTAAATGCTGTCTTTTTAAAAATTAATAACATTAATAAATACAATTTTAATAAATTATTCAACGTAAATATAAAATAAAATTTTAAAAATAAATAAGTAATACCTCAAGCGATTAAATAATAAATAAATAACAAATAATAAATTTTCAATAAACTTATTACACTTTTATACAAATACAACTAAAAAGCCAAATTTAAGTTAAAATTTTTTTTCACTAAAAATTAAAAATCTTATAAAATAATGTTTAAAAAAAAAAATGATTTTATAAATAATTATGAACTAATTTTATATGCAAGTATCACAAGTCAATTTTTAATGAAAATTTATTTCAAATTAAATCTTGTTATATCAAGAAATAAACTTTTGTGATAAATAATAAATTTTTTTAATATATAGATATTTAGTTTAGTTTAGATAAAAATTATTGATAATGAATAATATACAAGTTAGCATTTGAAAAATCACCAAAAAAAAAAAAACATTGTGAGAAAATTACATAAATTAAATTGAATATAAATAAATTACGAATAAAAATAAATTTTTTAATCAAAATTTAAAATAAAAAAATCATGGCAAAAAAAACTTGATAAAATTTCGATAAGCTTTAGAAAACATTTTATTGGCACTCGTATAAAACCAGTAAAATATTTTTTCATTTAAAAATTACAAATAAAATTAAATTACTTGTTACGACATTTAAAAATTTATTTATTTATTTATTTTTAATTTAATTTAAATTACCTAAATGTAACGCTTTCTATTTTAATTAAAATTTTTTTTTTTTTTTTTTTTTTATTGCAATTTAATTGAACAATAATATTTATTTAATTTTAATTGTGAAAGCTCAAATTATTTTTTTTTTTTTTATCGATAAATTTTTAAATTTATTAATTTATAACAATAATAATACTATAAGGTGATTAATTTTTTTTTTTTTTTTTTTTTTAAAACAATAACTTACATTATTAATAAAATTATTCACTATGATTTAATTTTTTTCCTTTGATCTCGTCGTTTATCCATTTCTCCAGATGTATAAGGACGTAGTTCTTTAAAGGCTATCTGTAGAGAAAAAATTGATGATGATGATGATGATAATAATAAATTTATTTCATTTAAATTTCCATTCGTTTTATACTTTCAAGGTATTTTAATAAATTATAATATCTTACCAAATCTTCGTCGTCTGGAACTCTTGAAAGTAAATCTAAAATTTCGTTGTTAGGTATCGTGTGAGGCCTTAAAAGTTTTCTAGAAAATCTATTAACACCGATCATCATAATTAAATATCTAACAGGTACGTAGTATAATACAATCGTCGCAATCAACGTAAGGCCAATTGCTAAGTAACTTAAAAAAGGTACCGTAAAATTAAAAGTGCTGAAACGTGAAAAATAAAATACATTTTTTTTTTTTAATTTAATCCATTTAAAAAATAACAGAATAGTATAAAGAAAAATTTTAATGTACTTTTTAATTTGCTCTCCCAAAGATGCAATAAATCCGATTGCATTTTGAACGGTTTGAGTAACTTCTTGAATGGCTTGAAGACGTTCTTTTAAACTTTTCTTTTCTTCCTAAATAATAATAATAAGGATTAGATTGAAAACCCTCAACCGAAAACAAATTGAAAAAAAAAATACATAAAAAAAGTAAAAATAAATAAACTTGCTTTATCTTTCTCATCATCGTCGTCATCTTCGTCGCCTATGACGTCATCAATATTATCGACACATTTCCCTCCGGTTAACCATAAAACCTAAATAAAAAAAAAAAAACAAAAAAGACTTTAAAATACTTTTGAAATTAATTAAAATGAGTAAATGTAATTTTAAAAAAAAACCAACCATGTATTGTTTGAGAAAGATAATTATCAAAGCAACAGGAATCATGTAGGGTTCGAAGTAATAACAAATCCCAACAAAAAAAACAAGAGCAAAAGCACTTTGGGCAGGACTTTCCCATTCGAAACAGTCTCTGAAAAAAAACAATTTTTCCCATTATTTTTGGTACTTTTAATTTGATATAATTAAAAAAATACTCACTGAATCATTTTACCCCAATCTATGATAACCATAATAATTTGTTTAAGTCTAAGAACATTTTTAACAAAAATTTGCCTTTTGAATTTTGTTTCTCCCTGCATGTATTTGCATTCTTTCGGATTCAATGTTCTAATGCAGGCTCTAATCTAAAATTCATTCAAAAATTTTTTTTTTTTCCGTTACACTTCTTATTATTAACCCGTGGATAATGGGAATAAAAAATTCACTCACTGGATTCCATAAAACGTGCATTTCCAGTAGAATCATCGGACAATTTCCTTTTGCTCTACCGTGAAGTTTTTTATCTTTAAGGCAGTACCATTTTTTCTCACCGTTATGTATACGAAGAAGAGGTATGCTAACTTTACCCAAAAATTCAACTTTATGATCTCTATCTTCGTCAAAAACGGTCACTTCTAAAACTGAATTAATATCTTTCACGTTGCTAAAAAAATTTTTAATTTTTTTTTTTAATAATTTAATAATAAAAACGTCATTTAAAAAACAATTTTTTTTTTAACTGTGACATATTTTTTTTTTTTTTTTTGGCAAAATATCTCATCTTACAATGTAAAAATTTTCTGCCACGATGGAGACAAAGTTTTATATTCGGTTTGTGTTTGTAATCGAGCATTAACGAGTTCCAAAACGCAAAAAGGATCAGATTTTCCACCCAAATCCGCTGCTGCGAGTCCTGTCGCTCTGTAAACTTTTACCGTTAAATGACCGACATCTCGTAAATTATGAAATGAATTTCGTAATGCCTGAAAAAAATCTATCATTTAAACATATATCACGATAAGTTTTCCTTTTTCTTTTCTTTTTTTATTACTCACATATGCATCATTTTCTCATTTAAAAGAACACTCACATATCTTTTCTCAATGTTTTTCCTTTCCCTGCTGTTTTCTTCATAAGTCGTCAAATCAGATATAGTTTCGGATGCTGTAGTACCACTTATTGTAAGAAGTAAATGTATTGTACCATCTCCTTCTTCTAATTCTTGCCATAATCCGTGAGTTTTTTCTCTATCCAATAAAGAAAGATCGATTGTACACCTGAAATATCATCATCATCATCATTACTATTTTATTTTTAAAAAATATTAATTTAATTAAATTTTCTTCTCTCACCTCCCTAAAAATTCATCACGAGATTTATCTTTATGCCATATCGTGACTTCCAATTCTTGATTTTGATCATCGTACAAATGAAGATCGAATTGTTCAAGCCAACTTGGATTACTCGTTTTAAATGCAATTTTACTTTTGTATTTTTCACTTCCCAACCTATAAATAAATTTTCATTTATAAAAAAAGCAAAAATAAACAAAATGGGCAAGTTGTAACCGACCTGAATTTGACAAAAACATCGCAATAATCATCGACATCAACTTTTTGTAATTTTTTTCCTTCTACTAAAACAATGGTAACGACAGAACTCCATATTTGACTTTTTAAACGACGATTTACTTCACCGATTTTATTACTCTTTTGAAAATACTAAAAAAAAAAAAAAAAAAAAAAGAAAAAAAACTAAAATGATACTTTCGTGTTAAATCCATATTAATAATAATTGCTGATTGTATTTTTTTTTTTAAAATCTTCCACACGTAATTAAAAAAGAAATTAATTACGTGTCGAATTAAAATAAACCCAGTCACCAAAAAAATTTTAGTTTAAAAAATTAATTAATTAAAATTACAAGTGTTCTTTTAAAATTTTCTTTTAATTAAAACGATCGGTTAAAAAAAAAAAAAAAAACGAAATTTTTTTTATTACGTGCCATAAAATTTAATTGAACAATTAACTACTGTTTCGTCCATAAAAGAAAAAAAAAAATTTGACATTTTGCTCGATGTCGAAAACTTACTTTTATTTCGTTACAATGTTTAAACATTACAACTTTTAATTAATACTATTTATTTATTTATTTATAAAAAATATTTCTCTCTCTCTCTCTCTCACCTTCATTACATCCCGCAACTTTAACAATTTTTTCACTCTTTGAATTATTATTATTATTATTATTATTATTTTGCTGACACGTTTTATTTTATTCAATTTTTAATATAGGTCCCATACACATTTTTTTTTTTTTTCCTTTCGAGCTTTTTGAAAAGAAGCAAAAAAATTTATATTTAAACAAAAGAATTATAATTTATTGTCACAATTTTAAACCTTTGACTTGTTTTTCTTTTTTTTTCATTAAACTGAAAAATAATTAAATCGATAAATTTGATAACGGATAAATCCACGGATTTGAGATTTAATAACGGCTTTTCCGATCGATTATCAAAATTTTTCTTGCCGTTATCATTATTATGTAATTCGAAAATATTCCTTTTTTTTTTTTTTTTTTTTAATATTATCACAATTTAAATTGATTTAAATTATT